GTGATTGGTACAACTTTGTGTCGCAGTGTTAAAATAGAAATCGTGATTGTGTTCTTGAAGTAAGGAATTAATTACATTCCATAAAATTATGAAATGAGCACCTCGGTGCTCATGCTAATTATGAAATAAGGTTTACAAAATACGCTTCACAATATATGTCTATGATGACGACACAACTGAGTTAAAAGCAATGAAATTTTCAGAATGTAACAAAAGTTTTAGGATAATTCCTTTCAGTCTATTTTTTTTATAGAAACACCGAGCGGCAATCCAAATCCTTGTTGTTCTAACTAAAGGTTGTTTACACTCAGCACCGCATGCATGCCACTATTCATGCAGCAAGAAGTAATCGCGATTGTTCACTCTAATCTAGACGCACCTTCGCCCTCAGATCGAATCTGGCCCAAAATAGCGGTTGTCCAAGTGAAGGTCTTCTTATGCAGAATAAACTGGTATAGTCTGGCTGTTGAGGTTTGTTCTTGACAAGATGCCGGTCAATTTAATTTGCAAATGAGCGTCACCTTTGCTAACTGATGATTTTAACTCGATAGCGTTAAGGAGCTGATGTCGCAGAAAAGCCGATGTCGGTGGCGTGACTGGAAAATCCTGATTGGTCGATAGGTTCATGACGTCAGAGCTACATACCCTCGCGCAAGAATTTCAAGTTACCCACAATGCTCACGTGAAACGTGATATCACGCGTGGAATGAGAGTTATTAAAACATGACATGTAATGCAAATTAAAGGTCGCCGTATGTCTCAAATGATTTCACTTTTGAAAGTAATTATTTTGCCTTAAAGAAAAAAAAATTTAAGAATTTTAGGTGGGATTCGAACCTCCGACCCTTTAGTTGCGAGTCAGACGCTTTTCACTAGGAACGGCGCGAGCGTCTGGCACGACAAAAACGTGCTTTTTGGTAAGAGCGTTTTTGCAAGCAAAGTAGCTTCCGGAGTCACGCTTTTTGGTTTGCGCCAAAGATGCAGGGAAGAGGAACCTTTACAACACAGTATGTTTTTAAAACTCCCCCCTCCCCCCCCCCCCCCCCCCCCACACACACACACACGCACTTCTTTATACAGCGGAGCTGTTAAGGGCTAGTTTCCAGCTAGTGTAGTGTCCGTCAGCAAAGAAATGATGACATTAAACTCTGGACAGCTACCGCCATCTATAAATGACGACGGCAACTAGACAACCGACTTGTCGGTTGTCTGGTTGCCGCCGTCGCTCATAGATGGCGGTAGCTGTCCAGCCTTTCCACTCTGGCTTGCCGACTTGTGGCCGGCCATTCCTTGATTCCCACGATAGTACAGCTTCGCTGGTCCTTCTTCACCAGAGTGGAAAGGCTGAAAGTATTCCTGAGGAATTGCCTCCTCCGTTTGTGTGTTCATTCGACAATTTTATTTGACACTTGTTAACCGCAACCCTTCATTGCTTTTATTTTGCACCCCGTGAAGTTTAGATGGGTCATAAAACGACATCGGGTTGGAATGTTCATGACTTTTCCGAGGCGTACTGGTCCTCTGGCCCAAGTATACTCGCACAGACCGCCACTAATTCAGAAGCTTCTTTGTCGCGGTCAAATTGCGAGGATTAAATGAGACTATTTCTTTTAGTCTTGCCTTCCCAAAGATTGATGCCGCAATTGTAGAATCAAAACCACCCGCCTGACGACAGTCGAGCGCGGCTCATATATGGATTGGACAGGAGGACTGCGTGAGCACCGTACATCGGCTCGTACCAATCAATGTCTTGGCAGATACTTGGGTAGTGGCTCGTGTCCAACCACTGCGGTGATGAGGATAGCCGAACTCTAACAATGCCTGGAGCTGCGCACGCGTTTTCTTCCTTTAAAACCCCAGCGCGGAGGTATGATTAACGTTGGCGGCATAAGATAGACACCAGGCCATGTGGCCGCTTCTGGCTCCGAGTTGAGGGGATGAACGATGCTTATATTTCTCGAATTTTTGGGCGACTGTCATTGCCTAGAAAAGATAGCAAAGCCAAGTTCAAGCAGTTATTAACGTTAGTAAGTGATTTTGAGTGGTATTTAGTAATGTATAGAAATATTTTCATAGCTCCTTTAAGCAAAGTACAGAGGGAGTCGAAACTTGGGCAATAACGTAAGAACGACGCTCGTGTGAGACTAAAGGCCTGTTCACACATGTAGCGGAGCGCTACAAGCGTAGCGCTGACCTCGCGCTGAGCACGTGCTGACGGGAGCGTTCACCAGCTTTGTGTCGCACCGTCAATACTGTTGTTCATGGCAGACAATAAGTAGCAGACGACACGTGAGAAGCGCTACATTAGCGCTTCGCTGCATGTGTGAACCGGCCTTTACAGTGACTGCCAACGTTCGGCTGTCTCTCTGAGGTCACTAAAATATCCTTTTTTTTTTTTTTTTAGTATTCCTTCCGTACAAACGTGTAGTTCTGTGTAACGTCATATTAATAAGTCGCATTTAGTAATTTCAGTACTTCTATTTTCAGGGACATCTTTCAGATGTAGTTCAGCAACAACGAAAAAATATTTGGGTGCCTCACTAATGTAAAATGGGTCTTGCAAAAATTTTTTCTTGTACTTTCAATAAATAGTGTTAAGAAATAACCCCTAACGTTGATAGCTTGCGGAAACATCCATTAGTTTTCCTCTAATAGCAGATGCAGAAAAAATACAGGAAAGAGACAGCTGTCGATATCTCCTCAACTCGCAATTTAAACAAGCGGCCACGTGATCTGATACCGCCAGTGTTCATCACAGTCGTGCTCTAGGCGGCTAGGGTTTGGAAAGCAAAAGATGGGCTGGAGCTTCAGATTTTGTTAGAGTTGGGCTATTATCATATGTAATTGACATGTGCCGTTACCCGAATGTTTGGCGGTGCTGATTGTCATGAACCCGAACACTCGACGAGGGGTTATGAGAATCGCTGATGTCACGGTGTCACGTGACTCTCGATGCGAAATCGTGATGTCATGTGACGTCATGCTGTCAACAATGTTAATACATCTAGTGACTTCCTCAAATTAAATCGAGTTGACGCAGTGAGTCACGTGACGTCTCGAGGTCACGTGACAACATGTATTGACACCATGGCGTCACGTGACATATGGTTAATCGTAATGCCATGAAAACCCACAACTTACCATACCTTTCAATTCTGTATATGACGATTTGATCCATAGATAGAAATACAGCCGCCAATATTTTATTCACGTATGTCCATTTCGTGATACTAACAAAAGAGACAAAAAAGAAATATTGCCTTGAACCGTTTTGAACCGGTTACCGTTATATTTTTTTTCGGTTCGGTTCCGGTTCAGTTCCAAGATGGCGGCGAAGATTTCGGTTCGGTTCAGTTCCGGTTCGGCTAAAAATAACGGTTCTGTTCCGGTTTTCGGTTCGGTTCGGTTCCGGTTCGACACCCTGCCCAGCACCAGTCCGCTCTTCGGGGGGGAAAGCCGCCGCCGCACCGCATCTCCGAGACCGACCACCCGCTGCCCCGGAAGGACCGCCGCTTCGAGGGCCGCTCTACGTGTGTCGTCTCTGTGGATGGACTGCCGCCGTGCTCCCCGGTCAGCTATATATGTTGCTTCAATTTTGAACATTCCTTTCGACCGTCGCTAATTGGACTCTTACTTTCGTCTTGATCTTTGTACACGCATACTTAACTGGATGTGTAACGTACTTCTCTGTGCTTAACTCGACACGTTTGTCGCTCGTAGCATCACTGTCTTGTAAAATGTACGTTCTGTTACTTTAAATTCCCTTTATATTGCCGCCCGCAGAGCCGAGAAGGCAACGCTTGGTCAAGGTCTTCTAGAAGATTCCCGGTCATTCTCGCAGCAGACGTAACTTTCCCTCTGCTTTGTTATTCTCGAAAGTGCCAGTTCATCCTCGCCCCGAGCGCGCGACGCTCGAACCTGCTTTGCCGAACTTTCGAGATAGTGACGCACGGTAAATAAGCAGCTGCCCGCGACTTTGTCGAGTCACGGCCGTATTCATAAACGGGCCTCGACTCGACACTCCACCTCGACTCACTGGAGTGGAGGAAAGCAGCTCGCCTCCACTCGAGGAGCCATCGGGCTTCACAGACGCCTCGAGGAGCCATCGGGCTTCACAGACGCGCCTCGGCGTTTCCTCGGCTGAGGAGCTCCTCGAGGACACTTCCTCCACTCAAGGAAACTCGAGGAGACGTGAAAGGCGTCTGGTTACGAGGTTGTAGTAAAAAACGAAGTTGAAAACAATATTGTGGTGTAAATTATGAACATATTAGTTCATTTTATTTGAAGGGACACATTTTACTAACATTGAATTGGGAGTCTGGAAGATTTCTGCTTCGCAGCGCGCATGTTTTATGGTTTTATGCGTTGCGGCCGGTTTTCGGACAAACAGCCACAAGCGTTCTCCAGTCTGGCAACGGTGGCGGCCGCTCTCCAGCTTTTGCGTCGTAGAGGTGGTAGAGGCAGCTGTAGCTCGCTACCGTCGTTCGTCTCTGCGTCTCGCCCGTTCTTCGCCGTCTCACCTCGTCTCACCGCTTATCCGCTTCGCTGTCACCGCCTAGAACGAGCATTTTCACCCTTCCTCTTTCTTCAGAGTCCTACTAGAGTGCCTTGCCCTACAACGATGTCGTTCAACGAAGGTGACAAGAAGGGGCGAGTGGTTCCACGAAGGAGGGGAGCTTCTTCGTCGTTCTACTAACAACTCCCCGAAAGAAGCTAAAATTGACGCGTAGAAGAGTCTGCACCAAGTATAAGCGCCAGCCCCATGTCCGCCCACGAGTGTTGGGACAACGGTTAACCTAGGGTGCCTCAATGTCCTTCTGTTAAGGGTGATGCCACCCTTTGTAGTACCCGATGCCGACAGCACGCGCTCACGGGTAAAATACAAAGAAATTGACGAAAACAAAATGTCGCCATAGCACAGTCAGCGCCACAAACGCGTGCAGGGACACGCTCTTTCGCGCGCTTTTGAACAAAAAAGAAAAATAAATGTGTGGGACAAAATGGCGAGATGTCTCCACCCTAAGCAAAGCGCACATGAAGGCACCCTAGGTTAACCCAAGTGGAAGAAAACAGACTCCGAGAAGAATCCGGGCATCCACGCAACAGGTGTGTAAGCAATTTCTATATTTGGGCAGAATAGCGCAACGGGTTCGCAAAATCACATGACAGGACGTGTGTACTAAATAACTCTGCAAGGGACTTTGCTGTGGCCACCTGCAGCTAGTCAAGCACGTTACTGTCGAGGCCGTAGGTGGGCAGTGACGGTGAATTGTCGCTATCTTTGGTGATTCTTGTGCCGACATCGACAACTTACTTTGCGTGTTGTGCTATATCCAAGCTAAAATTACGCTGCGAACATTCTTGTTGCACTACACTACCTTAGCCTCCGGCCCCTTTTTTGAGATTAGAGAGGAAACCTGGACGTATAAAGAAAAACGTGACGCACGAAACTGACACTAGTGCACGTAGAAGTTACGCTAAGTAGGAGTTTCGACTACGTCAATTAGACCTAGCACCTCATCTCCTTGTGTGCTAATCTTTTGAAGAAAAAAAAAAATCTTGTGCAGGTTTAATTGACTACCAGCTCTCATTTCTTAATTGTAACCTCCGAAGAAATGCCATTATGTGAACATGTGACGTGCTGGAGTCCAATTGTTGACAGATGCCTTTTTTCAGGTGTCCATGTTAGTGTGCAACCATTGTCATTTATTTGCGAGGTTAACCAGCGTATTGTACTGGCATGATTAAGCTGGCACAAATTTAATATGGGTAGAAGTATACATTATTGATTTGAAAAGTTGTGTGTCTACAATATGACTGTTGTCGCTGATCACATTAAGCTACTCCAGTATTTTTCATGCATATCAAGAAACAGCACAGGTATGACATCACTTGTTTCGCATTTATTTCTTGCAGTTAAGTGTCGAACAACAAATTGTACCGCATAAGTTGTAGTATGATTTGTTTTTCTTTCTGCGTTGTGCTCTGTACATCTCAACTCATAGATGCTGTCACAGGATATTCTTCGGCCTTTCATTGCAGGAGGGGGCACTGGTGTCGCACCCGCTGAACAATGAGCCCGTCCCTCCATCTTGTGGGGGCACTGGTGTCCCACATGGCAATGCGGCTGCCAAGCCCGTACAACAGTGGCAGCGCCCGCGCTAGTTGGCCGGTGCTGTCAATGCTGCCAGCTGCCATTCCCGAAGCCACAGTGAACGAGCATGACGACTGGCATGATGCCTGGTAAAAGTTTTCGATTGCATTTGCTACGTACCCATGGAGTTTGGTTGCTACTTGATTACACAGCTTCCAATGTTTATTTATAAAAAAATCAGTCTGCTCTTCCGTTTTTTATTTCGATTTTGGCATACTGTCTCGTAGGAACGCTAAAAACTGTGACAATGAGCCACATTTTCATGAATGCGACTTGTTAGGGGTGCCACGTAGGAACACAGTAAATTCCTTGGGTCTGGATAATGACATGTTTATTGACAAATACACCACACGTGTGCCCGAGGGCCAACAAGGACGAGATAACAGCGCTGTTTCTTTTGACGGTATCACCATTTGGAGTCTGCCCTGCTGCTACTGACAGTATCAGGGAAAGGAAAGGGTCAGAACAAGAAAGGAAGTCTTTCATGTTTACCAACAGTTGGCATTTAACATTTCTGTAATGAGGTCGTTGTGACAGTTTCTACCAGTTCACCGGTGTCTTCAATGTGCCTGTAACTCTCGGTGTCAATGTGTTGTGCTTGCCTAGATTCACCTGCCTCACCGCTGCTGGACTGGGGTGGCATCATGGAGGTTGCGGTTGCTACGCCACCAACCAAGCCCCCACCTCCTCTACCTCCTCAGCCGCCACGTGTGGTTGTCCGAGTGAAGACAACTAAAGGCCGCACCAACTGGAGGAGCTGCACCTGTTGCAGGTGGAGCTACGTCAGTGTCAGGTTGCCTATTAACAGACGCAGGCCCAGGTTTTCCATCAGCAGCAACGTAACAAGCTGGTTCGAGCTTAAGCTGCTTCAGTTCAACAAACTAATCACGCTGCAACAACTGCTTGTTCTCGGGGCCCAGCCACAACAGTAGGCTGATTTATTCGATTTGTTTCATCTTCCTCTTTAGTAATTACAATGTTTTACATTCTCTTTTGTGTTTAAGAATGCTTTATTAAAGTTTGTAACTTGCATCATTTTATCCCTGACCTGAAGTTGTTACAAGTATTGACCGTATCTCGCTCGTTAAAGCCTAGCATTTTTTTAAACTTGTTTCTCTATTGGCTATTTGTAGTGAACATGCAAAAGGGCAGTTACGTCAGCTTTAAATCTATTCTTTTAAAACTTAAAAAGTAACCGAGTATTTTTTTTCTTACTAATTACATTGTTTGTATGTTTAGACAACGGGAAGTTAGTCAGCCCCAGTGAGCAACTGATCTCCACTGTAGACGAGATATTCAGCCAGTGTCGTACCACAGCTATCCTGGGGTCTTTAACTTAAATCACAGTAGTGATACACAACCGCATGATGTTACAATGTTCATCCATATCGATACAGGCAGAGGCAGAGATTGAACTCAAGATTCCTATGTTCAGCTGTGCGAGCTTTCACTCCACGTGCTCCAAGCTGTGATCCGTTAATGCAGTTGACCACCGATCCCCTTGATGGAAATTAGGAATCTGTTTGAATGTGCAGCCAGGTGTTTCCTAAACATTGCCACTGTTATTTATGTAATGTCTCTTTTATTATTGTGTTGTCCATGTGCAGCCTCGTTCATTAAATGCTGTTGTCACAGAGTTTTGCCATAGTTTTCATTGAGTTAAGACGTCTCATTTCCTGTCCAGGGGTTTGTGCCTCGCAATCCTCTATGAACTTGCACCGCCTACCAGAGTAAAGTCGACACCACATTGATGAGGCTTGCCCACTGCCTTTTCATTGCGGAGGTGGCTCCGTGTCACAGAGCTTTTGGTTGCTTGTCCAAAGATCCCCAGGTGGTCAAAATTAATCCTCAGTTCTCTGCTGGGGCGTGCCAGATGCCCGTCATTGGTTTGGCACGTAAAACCCCCAAATTTGACTTCACTGCCTTTTCACTGCACACTACTACAGTGCCGACGTAGCTATTGGGCCCAAGTTTGCAGCTGACCACACAGTGATACAGTAACTGAGCAGCAGTTCCAGCTAAACCCTGGTACGGTGCTCACCTCATTCAGGCTTGCATTCAGTAATACGTAGTGTGATGCCATCAGTTTGAGTGTATGGGTCCTGCATGCTGTGTAAGTAACTGTTGGGTAGGACACCCTTGACTGCCTAACATCCGAAGGTGTCCTCACAAGGAATAGCTGCGCTATTGTAATATTTATTCTAACCGAAAACTCTTCATGTGGGGTCACAGCGGCAAGACATCATTTCAGACATTCTCATGTATAAGTTTATTTCAAACAAATGTGCACTGAACAACTCGCTGAAAAGTCTCGAGTCTGAACACGGCAAAATTTTGAGTTATTTTAATGTAATTACCTGAAGCTTCTCACTTTCTTTGTATCCTGCTACCCTCCTGCTTTCTGTGATGACAAATATTGAATTGTTCTCGAGCAAATTGTTTCCACAACAAAGAGGACAAGTTGGTCTTGCTTCTTTTGGAAGATTGATAAAAAAGCAACCACCAGCATAGTTTCAAACACTGTTGTTCAGCGGGAACCTGAGTAGAACAAAGACATTGCAACAATCTGTGGTGACCAACTAGCTATAGTCAAATAGACCAATTAGAAAGTGTGTGGCCATAGTATAAGGTTGATTTGTTTCTGGCCCGATTGCATTTTGAGCTTTAACATGGCCAGTGATTTGATTCTTCGGTGACCTAAGCTAAAAAGGACATGCTCTGCATTCAGTTCCTACTTGAAACACCACGCAACGAGTTGAGCCCTCACCCATGCCCCGTTGAATGTGTCCACGGGGTCTGAAGTCGATGGGAGATGAGGCTGCCTTCAGCACCGTCAGTGGGGGGTGGGACTGGTAGAGCGGGAAGTGGCTCGTTCTGCAGGTGGGCCAAGTTTTGCAGTGCAAGTCCACCAGGGATCATCACAGCTGACCATTCAGGCTTGTGCTGCTAGCACATGTCGAGGCACGAAAAGTGCCTAGGCCCGCTGCACCGAGTTCCCAGTCCAGAAGTGGGCCTTTTGGTACCTACATAAGACAAAAATGAAGAACTATACAGCACATTTATTGTTTGAATAGAAAATGTGGGACTGGTTTGTGGAGTCGTGTATGTCCGATTAATGCTCAGACTACTGTTTTCGATAGAAAGTGCTGTGTATGATAACACCCTTCATCAGATGTACACACACAGCTTTTTGTTGTGAGTGGATAATGTCCCTTCGCGCACATCTTAAGCTTCAGAAAGTCTCTTTTAGATGGCTGCAGGCATCAGTCTGGTTCGGGTGGTATGCTGTACGAAATGGACTTTGGTACTAGTTGTATTTTCAGTACACTCTGCTGCTTGCCGAAGGATGTCAACCTGCGAATGGTGTGGTATCGGCGTATGTTTCCTACATTATTGTATATTTCTGTGGACTCGTAAGCCACGGTTTAATTTAAGCAACAAATGCCAAGAACCAACAAACAACCAACCTCAATGAATAACAAATGTTATTGAGCAGTGGGTGTTCGCCGTGCAGTTTGGTTTACACGACACAAGCACATGCAGACAGAAAAACTGTTTACATATGGGACTGTTGTAGTTAACAATTGCACAGACAACTTAGTGAATGCCACCAAATGAATGCTTTCATGTGTATACGTAGAAAGTAAACATTCGCTCATCATTTTCAATTTTAATTTAATTTTATTTTAGGTTTTCATGTCTGAGAATCTGACGATCAAAAAGGTTTATCTGGGATGAGACTGTGTTGCAACAGACATCGTCTCATCCCACATTCACTGGAAATGTGCTTTGGTCATGATCATTCTTGCAAGGAGGGTGCGCTCGGGCCGCTACTATCATTGTGCTCGGTAACCCGATCGGGAGTTCGTTTTATTTTAACATATTTCTGTGCTCTCACAAGAGTCGGCAACCATTTAATGACTTTTTTTTTTCTTCATAAGAACGGGAGTACGTTCACGCTCGGTCGTGCAAACTGTCGCCGGGTACAGATTTGTTTTAAAGTTTTAATTGATATCGTTACGTCAGAGTTTAGACCTACGATATCGTATCTCAGCGTACAGTTTGATTAATTAAGTTTGGCACTCCTAACGCAAACAACAGGGGTGAACTTACCTGCACGTTGATGGAGAAGTATCCATTTCTGTTTCGAGAACACTTCCACATCGGGACCGCCGGGTCCTCTTGTCAATGCACCCAGTCGCGCGAGGGGCCGCGAAACTCGCTCCGCAATCCGGCGCACAGTCGGCTGCGGCATGTTCACATCGTTCCCGTAACAACTTGAAACGTCCTGGCACCATAAAAGCTCAAAACAACGAGGAGCTGCAGCATCGTTGAGGGCGGTAGGCTCCGAGTACTCGCGCTCCTGGCAGAGACAGCAGAGTGCTCGCCGGTCGCCTTCGTGAAGCGGCACCGCACAGGAAATTCAAGGTCACTGAAGTGTTCCAGCGGGTTCAGGCGTTCTCTGAAACTTCGTCTCGTCACACGTCTCGATTCGCTGTCGCCTGCGTCATCGTAGAGGATCTCTTCTGCGCTTAAAACGAAGTGCACGAACTCCGCGAACGACTCGCATGCCGCCATGACACCCCAAACTCAAGTCGAGGAGCGGCTCGAGGAAGCGCCGGACCTACCTTTAGTCTCGCTCCCGCTCTGCTTCGCCGCCGAATCGCCGCCTGCTTTTCTACTGCCTCGACGCGCTTTCGTTACTTATTTTTGGTTGGCACAAGTTCGCCCATTAAACCTTTATTTTCAGTTTACTCTTTGCTTTCTCGTCGCCTTAAAGGGACCATGAAATGACCTTTTTACTTTTTCCAGATAACTTTTACATTAAACCGTCAATGTTCACTGAATGCCGAACAGGCATCCGTTTTTGTCTCGGTTTATTAACTTCTACACAAAAAATTATTGAAATATCGACTTTTTCATTCTCTCCGACTGACCGCAAAAGAAGCCGTGACGTAGACCGTTTCCGGAACCGGAAGTTCTCTTGGCAGTAGGAGAATGGGAGTGTTAGCGGCAACGAGTTGGGGTGCGCCGGTAGGTTTTACTGCGCTGATGTCACCGACGTATTTCCTGAATCGGCGCCTCTCATCGCCGCATCGCAGCTGAGCGAAATTCAATGAGATATGTTGCGCTACAGCGACAGCATGGGACTAGTCCCATACGCCGGTATGCCTGTTGGGAAGTGCAGCGAGTCTTCCGGTGAAGACTCCAGAAGTCAACCACCCCGTCATTGTTGGCAGAAGGGCCGGCCCGTGTCAGTCGTTTGCAAAGCGACGTAGATGGCGTTTGTCGCGGCCTCGGAGATGCAGGAGCGAGCCGACGTTAAAAAAGATACGTTTGAACTACGAGTGTCAGCAAGAGCCACGTAAATACCTGTTTACACTCGGAGCGGACGCGCGCGCTTGATGGAAGTCTTGTATTCGCGCTGTTGGTAAGCGCTTCGGGACCGTTCTTTTACGATTGCAACTCGATACTGACGCGACACTCGGCAAAGAAAGGTTGGACCGGGGTTATACGTATACCTCCCACGAACTGTTATAGCTCGACAGTGGCGTGCAGTCTGTCAGAATAAAAATGGCATACCAATAACAAAGTGTACATACCGTGTTACGAAGGTAATCCATACGGCGTTTATTTCAGC